AAACAAATTGTTAATATAGTATAGCAGTAACATGACTGGCCTTTAGAAAAGAAGAAGAAAAAAAACAACAACCTTATAATTGAATATGCTGTTGTACCTGGAGAATGTTCACATTTTATAGACAAGTCAATCATTTACATTCTCATCTCCAAGAAGCCTTAAAAGGTCAAGGATTGGAAATTACCTAATCAAATTCTCCTGGGGCACGTCTGACTGGAGTTGAACCTCATATTTAATGCATTAATAATATACACAAATACAAAGCAAAACCTGAACAATACATAAAATACATTTAAAGGTATAACATTTTATAATTTAAAGTGTTTGGATTTTCTTCAGTAACTCAACCATTTCCAAAGATTCCTTTTTAATTGTTAGCAACCATATCCCATAAACTCTCTGTTTACAGGAAGTGTACTTTCAGCAGCAATATTGTTTAAAATACACATTTTTTTTAAAAGGCACACTTTTTTTTGGTATTACAAATATACTTTTCCCCCCCCTCTGTCTGCAATTTTAACACAAAAAACAAGGTTAACAGAGAAGTGGAAAATTAAACTTTCTAAGTATGTGATTTTAAAATAGTACTGTCCGGATCACATGCTATCAATGGCAATAAGTCTGATGACTCTTCAAACTGTGTATGAGTGTACTGCCTGGATATATGTGCACCATGGAAATCTAATTTAGGAAATCTAATTAAAACAATCTTGCACACAGGTTTCTGTACTGCTCTGCATGGTGTCCACCAAGTAATTTGCAGTTACCGCTCCACTTTATCTATCTTAATTTTGCAGAGAGAAGGATATTTTAGACAGCAGTCTCATCATCATTGTGGTACCATACATCCCAAGCATCTTTATCTATGCAGAACTGTCATGTGCCGTTCCAAATGATTCCACATTTCAGGAACACATTTTTCCAGGAGTCTAACTTACAAAAAAACCAAGGGGTCCACATATAAAGGGTAATGCTTGTGCGTCACTTATTCACATACATATGCCAAGCACATTGGTCTAGTAACATCACTTTCCTTTTACTTTTGGTGTACCATGAAGCCTACATAAACTACAACCCCCTAATCTTTAAACATGCAAAAAGGGATCAGAGATTAGAGAAATTAATAGATTTTTATGTGATTTAGTGAAATAAAAAAAATTGTGATTTGTTTTTTCTTCTACCATTTAGTTTTTTACTCTTTACATTGCTCTATTTATCAACATATATAGAAATTCATTGTAGAAAATATTCAGGCCGCGTGGATTAGCAGCAATTTCACATTCACTAAATCAGCATATACCGCCTAAATCTAACCCAGCTGACATCAGGCGGTGTCTGGTATTTAGTAAGACTTAGCTGTGCTAGCAGTTAGATGTCCTGCTCCATGCTGTAAGTGAGGTGTTCTATTATGACCGCACAGACCACCTTAACGTTTCTGTTGTATGCAGTTTAATATTACTGTTGCATTTATTCTCATTACTGCTAAGCT